ATATATATATATAGTATATATATATATATATATATATATATATATATATATATATATATATATAAAACCGTAGAGTAAAAACATGGAGATCAGTCATCTCAGGTGTAAATCCACTGAAATGAATGGAGTGGAGATGTGCCTCTCAGCAACAGAAAAGAGATCCCTGTGGGGTGTTTCTGGATGACAGGGGAAATTGAGAAGAATAGATCTAAAGGTAAAGTCAGAGATTGTCTCGGTCCCCCGCTCAAAAAATTCCACCTCAAAAGCTTATGAGCTCCCAGGCTCTGTCACAGTGAGATTTCTGACATCCAGCCCAGATACTTGAAAGAAATGCATTTGTTTTGCAGGCACGTGTGTGTGTAAATGTAAGGATCGCCTGATCCCTGCACAGAAAGGCTTCCATGGCATGATCTTAACCCTTACGTCCCTCCATCCCCCAATCCTCCCTCCCCCCTTCCTCTCCCCAATGGGGCAGGAGCACACACTCATCCTCTGCTACTTTATTGTGTTGTTGGGAGAGGTTTGTGCGGATGTTTCGCCAGCAGAAATCTAGGCAGCTTTGACCCACCCACACTGATACTCACACACACAAACACAGAGAGAGAGAGAGAGTCAACTAATCACAGTCGAACAATTTAGCAAGCCATCCATTCATAACTTCCCCCCCTTGTCTAGCAGCAAAGTATGCTTAAAGGCTGAGTTACTGGGAGACATAAAGCTTAGTGCTCTCAGGACAGCCATATTATAATGCATTATTCGAAGTCATTTAAGGCCAATTTTAGTGGTATTTAGTATAATATTTATGAATTAATGTAATCAAAATATAGAACTGTCCCAACAGACTGAAGCAGCGTTTCCTACCGATGCATATTTGTACCCAAAGCCTGGAGTGGGTTTTAATTTGAAGCACACAGGCCTGCATAATATTCTATTTAGGAAGTCAGAATAGATCTGAAGAAGTGAGGTTTTTACCCACGAAAGCTGATGCCCAAATAAATCTGTTAGTCTTTAAGGTGCCACCAGACTCCTTGTTGTTTTTCTAGAATAGATCTGTGTATCCCACTCTCAACTGCGATTCAGTGAAACACAGGCAGGTTAGTGCACTTCAAGAGAGAGGTTGTGGGGGCTGGTAGGCACAGCATTGTCCTGAAAGCTACAATGTCCTCTCAAATCGCCTCTAGAAAAAAAAAAAAAGAACTCAGAGAAAACCACCATGGCAGTCACATTGTTAGGATGATGTACTCAAATGACCCAAATCTCACTCAACAAATCAGGAAAGGCAGCTAGCAAGATGCAGTACCAAAATATCAGTTTATTTCCCCTGTTTGCTATACCCTCTTCTCAAAAGCATGACTAATTTTGGAATTTCCGACACCTGGGGTAAAGGTATGTAAGGCTTATTTATATTCTCCCATGGGAGAGAGAGAGAGATTGCTCAGCATGATATTAGTTTTTAGGATACCTCAGAAATTCAGAATAATAACAATGACTATTAAATTAAAAGGCATGGTAGACAGATAGATTATAAAGATTTGGGGAAATGAAAATTTAGTCAAAAAGGAACACAATTAAATACAGGTGCTGAATAAACAATTCCATGACTGAAACATAAGGTTTGCCTGGCTGAACACAATGCACGTAGTATTTAGTGCGGTAGTAAAGCAGACAAGTTTTAGGGAGGAGAATGTACAAATAAACTGGAACAAAAGAGTGGAGGCTTTATGCCTCCTGTCTGAAGAACAATCCCTGAAAAGAGGCGAAAGACAATTGGATAGCTTGATCAAAGAGAGGAAAACAAAACAAGCAAAAGACAGACGAACAAAAAACCTCAAACAAGCCTCTATACATTAACAACACCACATATAGATGTATCTATATCTATGTACATTTTATGTCAAACAAATAGCCCAGGTTGCTTTGTAAATTAAAACGCTAGATTTTAAGTTTGCAGTGGCCTGGACATCAATACTGGTTTTGTATAGC